ATTATACCTTTTTGCTTTTTCTACGAGGCTCTAGTAGAACTCTTTCACTTCCTGGTGTAGCAATACGAAAAAATCTGTGTCGTAGATGATGTTTATCTCCATGATAGCAAATGGAACAAAGATCGTAGTTGCCACATTCAGCACACTTCCATCTGATACCAAAGATAGGCTGCTGGCGACAAGTATCACACATTGTGCCATCATGTTTCACTCCTGTTGGTGCAGAATCCAGAATTCGCAGATCAAAGGCTCCAGAGCATCGATAATTGGCTGCTGTGCCATTATCCCAGACAACCACAACCTCTTCTGGTGATTCAAAATTTCTCACGGTACCCACATGACCTTCTCCACCATCCTTTTAAATGAAATTGAAAAACAATAATTAAAATATCCTTTAAATTTGTTATTAATGGGATGATTGAAATTATTTCTTAACAATGTGGCAATTGTTGCCAGTAAAATACACATGTTTCAAAATAAAGATGTTACGCCTATTTTTGTACAATTATCTGTCCATTAAAAATCACGTACATTTATATATAATATTGTAAAATCTAATAGTAATTTAAGTAAGTATGCAACAAATCTATAATCCAATTAAATATAAATGTTCATGACATAAACAATAATCGGAGTAACCTTACAGCGAATTAAATTAGTTTTTTACAAGCATAATTTTTGGGAAAAAATTATTGAGCTATCGTTGCAGAAAACAGAAAATATGAGAGTATTTATTGCTATTAATCTTGAAGGAGGAAAACATCGCGTTATCTCAAATAAATCGCGTTTAACGCACTTAACCTCTCATCCTAACCTGTTTTCCCCATTTCCATTCCGGTCCACGAATCACTCGGGCGCCGACACCTTCCATCATAAATCGCGTCGTACGAGTACCCGTACTCGCACCGGCCTCCATCGTTCGTTGACAACGATTCCTTCGCGTATCTCGCTCGAAAATCGCGGAACACAACGTCTTTTCTTAGCGCGAACACCGAAAGAAAATACCACTTTGACTGACTTCAACAATGCTTCAAAACACGCGTTGCCAACGCGCGTTCATCTAGGAACGTAACCCTTCATTCGGCCGCCCGGTGTTCGTGATACCAATTTAGAACGTTTTCATAATTACGCGTCTCGCTGCTGCATTTATTTTATAGAAGTTACGTTTATATATTCGTCTTTTTATTTCTAACATAAAATAGTTCGGTATGTCCGTCCAATATTTAAATTTTCGTGCGAAATTGCTCGCGCAGCCGGCCCGCCACAGAAATATAGAATTTGTTTTCTCTCTCTCTGATATTGGCAGCCCTAAATCCGGAATTTCAGATGGACGAAATATTCGGTCTGTTCTTTTTAGAGTCCTCCAAGAGGAAAGAAAAGGAAGAAAAGTGAACTGGTGCAAAAGTTCAGCCAAAAAGAACAGGCTCATTAGGTCTATTCGCGTTGCATGAAATCCCTAATATTTTTGCATTTAAAATAAGATAGATATATATTTACCTTGAAAAGAGAGAAAGCGAAGACGCCGAGTGTCAAAAATGCAATCAACGCGAACAGACCTATTCAAACGATTGAAATGACTATAAATGTACAAGATTCGAATTTTTCTCATAGTTCTTTGAAGTGACAATCTATAACCTTCATCGCACAATATTAATGGAATAAAATGAAATAAAAACAAATATACTTTTTAAATTTCTTTATCTGATATAACCTATAATAGACGCGAAATGGAAAAACGATAATGCCTCACTACGAGTCTGCATCATAAATGAACAATTTATGTAGATTTTTTTTAATGACTAGCACTATAAAACAATTTAATTTAATTAAATAAAATATATTATTATTAATGATTGTTATTATTATTTGTCAAACAGATTTTTTTATTTATACGCAAACGAGGATGGCAGATTATTGTTTATACAGTGAATAACGAGGTGCACAGAGATACACAGGATGACATACAAAATCTTTTATTCATATAAAAGGACACTTTATACTAGCACGTACTGTCGAACTTAGCCTACTTCCGTATAGTCGGCACCGCCAGGACATTCTTTCGCTGTCTCCCGGCTCGTTCTCGTTTATTCCGTTTATCACATAGTATAATAAGCGACGAATGATCAAGTTATATTCCTCATAGCAACACGCGACTGTGATCATACTCACGTGCGAGAAAGAAATCGGTAAATCTGTCGTGAGGCTCAAGTAATTTTCATCAAGTCAACCGCGCCACGCGCCATATTGCTTTAGGCGCGCAAACGCGGGACCGATTCAAATCCTTCTGCTACATAGCTCTCGGTAATCATATCGGATTACAAGGAAATTGAAGGAAATCTCTCATCAAGTTGTATTCGGATTCCTGAGTACTCTCCGAGTGTCATGTCATCCTTGTTTAATTTTCGGTAAATAACAAGGATAGAGTGATATATGAGTGGCACTCGGGTGGGAATCTGAAAATAGTTTAACGTGAATATGTTAGATCACGAAGGAATAGTTGATGCGGCGAAATGGATAGGAATTGGTCGCATTATGCGCTTTATGCCTACGTAATTAATTTTCGCGGACGTTTCGCTGCTTCGATCGACTTCGACGTTATAGTCTTACATGCGTTCTACATATATCCAACACGATATCCCTTATCGAAATTTAATACTGGAAAGAAGTGATTAATTACTTATTTCGAGTGATAAAAGCACTATTGTCTAGTGCTTTTACTCAAAATAAGCAGTTTTCAGTATTAAATTGGATTTCTGTAAGGAACATATGCCTTACGCCATTACAGCTACATAATATCGTACAGCTGTATAATATCGTACTTATTATCGTAAACACTCGACACTCATATTTATCTTTGATAGTTATTACTCACTATGATTGAAAGGGAAAAAGGGTGATATCGAGTATAAATACTAGGGTTTGGACTATAACTGCTTAAGAGTATTGGCTTGGGAAGAACTGACTCGACTATAACCACGTAACTTTCAATGAGCCTTGAGCAAATTATTTTAGTTACTTTCGCTTTGCTTACCGCAAAATGTACTGGCGTGATAAATTTTTGTCGCGATGGAAGACAAGTACGAAATCGCGCGCTTTCGTCGATGTTATTTCAGTTAATTGAGAATTATGACATTGATCCTTTCTCTTTTCTCGACCTTCTTGAATATACATTCGCCTGGTTATAAAAAACGCGTAGTTCCATCGTAGTTATTTTCATCTCTACGAGTATTTAAAATTTCAACTTTTCCTCGATATAATAATGTCGCAGCGCTGATCAGTTTCGTAATTTTATTATAAAACACAAGAAACGTTTTGTACGTGTATCAAAAATTTATTATCGATTATTGCATGGGAAATTTGTTTCATTCACGTCTGAAAACAGTGACAGTAATAATATGGCCACTTTATATATCACGATCGAGTTGTCGTGGAAGCTCCATGAATACGTTGATCTTTCATGTCGAAAGAGATCCTTTACGTGAAGAAAAAGAGAAAAACGCTTTCATGATAGTTCTTCGCGAGAAGCTGTTGTCCCAGGGGCACATACGGGCTTAATTAATTATTAATAAATGAGTAACTAGGATATTAACGGGCCGCTGATATCAGGAAGACCGAACGTTGACTCGTCTTCGTTCCATTATTATACAGACAGTATGCGCAGTATTTCGTGCGATCATATATACATATATATATATGTGCATGTATATATATGTATATATATATACAAAACATTCGTTCTATTTATTACACTAAAAAGAGCCTGCAGAGTTCCAGAGTCTCAAAGCGTGACGTTACTTTCATTATTAGACGACGATCATACGAGTCGAGTATCATCGCTATCGAGATAAATAATTGACTTGGAAAGAGATTCCGAAGATTTTATCGTTTTCTCTTTTCTAACGCGATACTTTGAGACTGAAGAACCGATACGGGCGATTATCTCTCATCTCGTTCTCTTAACAACTATACTTTCGTACAAACGTATAGAACATCATTATCGTTAAGTATTATCATCAGAGGAGGGTACAGTGTATATAAAGAATTATATAAATGTATATATATTTATATTTATATATATATTTATATTTATATTTATATTTATATATAATGACGCCAGCTCGCCGGAGAAGCAAATTCTCGGATCGGTCCTCCGCGCGAGCCGCTGTTTGAGCTTTGAGATGCGTGTATCTTTCGTCTCTCTGGCTTTCTCTCTTTCTCTCTCTCTCTCTCTCTCTCTTTCTCTCCATTAACATATCACATGCACCATGCATACACACGCACGTACACACACTCGCACGCGCACTGGGATACGATCGTTGGCACTGTATATGTATGGTGTTGGCGTATCAATTAAAAAAGGAAGAAAAAAGATAGCTTAATCGGAAGTTCTTCTTCAAAAGGAATAAGATCTTTGCTGCTTAAGAATACTGGAAGCACGGCCGGCTCTAGTTATGCCGATCCATAATTTCGATCGTGTCCGAGTGCGCATGAACGTCAGCAAACTTCAGTAATATGACCCGGTCGTTTGGGATACACGTAGCAGCCGAATAAACGATCCAGAACACGCTCGATCGCGTAGCAAATAATGACATATATCATCGTCGCTTAAGATTGTCGCAGTGACACCATAAGAGCAGTAAGGATATGCCGAATATCGTAGTCTCGTTTCTTCCCCATATTTTTCAATTTACAACGTTGCATCGTAGGAAGGATACCAAGGATATAGTTTGCGTAGAAAAAACATTTAAAAAAGCTTCTAACTAGCTAAACGATTTGCAAATTGAGGTATCCTTCGTACGATTCTCCTTTGCTATTTCAGTATCACTACACGACCCATTCGGCCGGTGTATTGAATTCTTCTTTCGATTCTATTTTCTTCCTTTTATCTTTTTATTCGTTTCTTGTTTGTCGCACAAAACGCATTTATTGCATTTTTTCTTCTTTTTTTCCTCCCCATCACCTACGAATTGTGATCGCAACTCTCTCTTTCCGTGTTTCCATTTTTTTAATACCGACGACGATGACCGTGGCTGCGGACGGCGCTCGTTGCCGAAACGAAACCAATGCCGTTGATATTCGACACTGACAAAGGCACAGTCATAAGTCTCGTACGTTCAGTAATTTCCTCTCTTTTTTGTCTTTTTAGGGCATATGTAAAATATCCCACGCAAGACAGAACGCGAAATTATGTTCGTTACACGACAAATTTTTTTCTTTTTTTCTTCTTTTTTGTCTACATTTTTTACATCCATGCTGCCTAGCTTCTTCCTTCCGTGGTTCGTATATTAGCATCGATAACACGCCTCAATACACAATTAATCTTCTATGATTCTCCAATCGGTATGCCTCCTCTCCTCCTCCCCTCTTTCTCTCTCTTTCTTTCTCCGTTGCTCTTTTTCTTTTATTTATATATAACATAATATAATATTATTAATATAAACGTTTACGTTTTGGCCACTCAGTTCGTAATCGTCGAAGCACATTATTGTCTGTGTTTCGCGCGATATTTAGGTAGTTTAGAATAATTTTCATTCACTTTTATACAACACTGAATTTTTTTCCTGTTGTCGACTTTTTCGCCCTCGTATATGCTTCTTTGTAAAGATGAATCCCTCGATCCGACTCGGCGGCTCATCTCCTTCTTTTGGCTTCTGTAGTCGCAGCTATCATTTGTCTCAGCATTGGTTCCGGACTGCATACTTGCGGATCGCATTTCATTTTACCATCATTTCCGCAACTAAAATTTTGCAATAAGTCACGTTAAGTATTTTTTTAGAAATAATGCACATGTAATTAAAAACAATTTACAGAGAATATAAAAAGATAATTTTTTATAAACTTACATGCAGCGAAGGCAAGGATTAGACGCCGACTTAATGACTTCTCCAACTCGATAGGCATGGCCATTAAGTTGACAACCGCTTCGCCTCGCGGCCCCTTTATAAGCGTGCGCGGGGAAGTGCGGTGGTAACGTGGTCGTGGTTGTAGTAGTGGTAGTGGTCAAGTTAAGAGCCGTAGCCATTGATACGGGACACTCGTATCTGGGGCAGCAGAAACCGCTGATCGGTTCTTCGTGGCAGCCCGGAATAGGCGGTGGACAACTTTGTTGGAGACAAATGATGTCACTCCTGAAGCAGAAACAGAAGTCGCACGGGTCGTCTCTCGGTATCTGTTGTGCCGAAACGTAAACCTTGCCGCCGTATCGACAAGTGCCCGGTCCTCCATAGTCGTCTTCGCCATAGTCGTCGTCGGGATTCGGATAGCCACCGGGTATGGGGAATTGAGAATTGTCTTCACCCGATATTCCGCTTTGATCAGGATATTCTGGAATATGAGGAGTGGTCGCCGGCCGTTGTTCATGGAAACCATAATCAGTTTCTGGTTTCACGGTAGCCTCTGGGAAATGGTCAATGTGAGTCTGCTCTTCACCTTCTTGCGGATGAATGGGTTCTTCTTCAGGAATCTCTTCCGTAATTTCTCCAATTGGTAATTCCGTGGGTATCGGTTGTGTTTTTATGACAGGTTCTTCAACCGGTGTTTCCGGTTCCGGACTTTCTTCTTTTATCGGGATTTGGGATTCGGATACTTCTTCTGGTACTACTTCTGGTCCAACGGTAGTTATCTCTTCAGGCAATTCAGTTGGTTTCACGCTAGAAACCTTAACTAGACCTTCGGTCGCAATAGTTCCTGGTTCTTCTACTTCCGGGTGCTCTTCTGTTTTTGTCGTAATAGGTGCTTCGGGCACATGTTCCGTAGTAAACTGAGGTTCTTCGGTCATACCCGGATGACCCTCTTCGGATACAGTTGGATGAACCTCCTCGCTTTCTTCAGGTTGGCTAGGTTGAATTTCTCCTGCAGGGGTTCCTTCCTCAGAAGGAAGAGGCCTTTCAGTAGGCTCAAATTCAGTTATCGACGGTTGTTCTTCCTTATGAACAGAAGTAGTTTCTGTGGATTGGGTAGGATGTACTTCCTCTTCTTCTCCTGCTGTAGAAGCTTCTGTCGGTTTCTCTTCAACTTTTGGAGTTACTTCTACTGAAACAGCTTCTTCCGGTAATATTTCTTTGGTTACTGCGCTTTCAATTGCTTTTGTAGTAGTTTCACCTTGTTCGGGCGGCTCTGTTTCTTGTTCTGGTTCAATTGGATATTCTTCGGGTGCCAAACTTATCACGGTTGTCGCTTCTTCACTTACTGGCTGATCCGGTAAATTAACTTCGGTAACTTGACCTTCTTCTTCCGGCTTTTCCGTTTCAAATGGAATTTCCTCAGACTTTTCGGTTGAACTCATTTCAAGTTTTGTGACAGGTTCTTCTGGCTTCTCTGTACTTTCAGCTGTAGCAGTTTCTTCTTCAGGTGGAAGTTTTTCCACCTCGCTAATTTCGGTCACTGGCTGCGATACTTCTACAGTAGGTAGCGTTGTCTGATATTCAGGTTCATGGGTACTTTGTTCTTCAGTCTTTACCGGTTCAATTGGATATTCTTCGGGTGCCAAACTTGTCACGGTTGTCGCTTCTTCACTTACTGGATGATCCAGTAAATTAGCTTCGGTAACTTGACCTTCTTCTTCCGGCTTCTGTTCTTTTGGAATAATTGTTGTTTCATGAATTTTTACAACTGGTTCAATTTCTTCTTGTTTGGTATACTCTTCTGTAGTACCAGATGTCACAGCTTCCTCTTTAACAGCTTCTTCCGTTTCTTTCTCATCTGCACCCGTTAATTCCGGAACCGTAGTTGGCTCCTCTTTACCAGGTTCTACCGTTATTCCAATTTCAGGTTTCTGTTCTTCGTCTTTTTTATAAATTTCAGGAACAACAGTATGTTCCTCCGCTGTATCAGGCAATTGCGTTTCTGGTTTAACACTTTCTATTGTCTTTTCAGTTATTTGTTCCTCTTGACTCGTTACTGGTATAACTTCTGTTGAAGCGCCTTCTGTTATCTTTTCTTCGCTGGGAGAAGTAACAGTCTGTTCTTCTATAGGATATTCAGATTTTGAAGTTTGCTCTATAATCGGAACAGTGACGTGTTCCTCTTCTGCAACTGGTGTTTCGGATTCCGAAATAACAGGCTGTTTAGTTCCTTCTTCACTCAAACTTGGCTCAGTTTCTTTTACGATCGGTGTAGTGGGTTGCTCGCCAGTTTTTTCTTCTGTAGATGCAGATGTCGTTGATATTTCCTCAGTATGCTCTTCGGCAGGTAATTCAGGCGTATGAGACTCAATTTCGGGTGTAGTTTCTGGATGCTCCTCAACGGAGATTTGCGTACTTCCTGGTTCCTGAGCGATACTGGTTTCAGTAGGTTTCTCGTATTCTGTTTCAGTAGGTTCAGTTTTCGCTGGTTCCTCGCTAATGACTGAAGATTCAGTTTCCGATGGCTTTTCTTCGGGTAATTTTGTAGCTGACAGCTCTTCTTCGTGCTCTATAATTGATGGTTCTGTTTGTTTTTCAGGATATTCTGTAGTTTCCTTTTCTATTGCGCTTTCTGTTGTTTTTTCATGGGAAACTTCAGGAGTAGATTCTTCGACTAGTTTAGTAGTTCCCTCGATAGGCGTTTCTGTTTCAACAGGCAAGATAGCAACAGTAACATGTTCTTCTTCTGTTGCAGGAGCTTGAGTTGAAATTTTCGGCTCCATCTGTGTGCTTTCTTCCGTAGAAATTTCTACAGATTTTATAGTTGTATATTCTTTTGTTGACGTCTCCTCACTTACCGTATGATCATGTATTAGTGTCGTTGATTCAGCAGTAGATGTAATTGGCTCCTGTGTTTCAATTTCACTTGGAGCAATACCAGGCAATTTTGTTTGACTTTCTGGTTCCTCGGTTTGAACAGTTTCAGTTGATGTAACTGTCTCGTACTCTTTTTCCTTTTCAGTTTCACTCTCGGGCTTATGCTCAGTCGTTGATTGTATTTCAGAAACTGAAGTACTTTGTTCCTCTTGAATTCCTGGTTTCTCCGTTAAAATTTCTTTCGATTTCGTAGATGTTTCCTGTTCTTCGACAGTAACAGGTTCTTCAGAAATTGGCTTTAATGAAACTTTTTCTTCTTCTGGTTGTTCTTTTTCAATTGGTTTAAATGTAGATTGTTCTTCGATACCTTCTTCTTCGGTGGGTTTCTCCTGTTCTGTAGTCGGTATACTAGTTCCTTCATCTTTACTAGCTGCTATAGTCGTAACTTCTTGTCCTTTCTCAACAGGTATTGAACTTTCTTCTACTTCGACAGGAACAGAAGTCTCTTTTGTCAAACTAGGAACTGTAACAGGTTCTTCAGTGCTGTGAGATTCCTGTTCTGCTGGTACCTGCGTGGAAGTAATTGTTTCGTCACTAATAGGAATCTGTTTCTCTCCAGTCTCCTTCTGCGGTTGTTCGGTCAAACCTACTGATTCTGTTATGCCTTCTTCGCTAATTTTGCTTTCAGTAGTTTCTCCTGGTATAATTGGTGACACAGTATGTTCTTCGGATATTTGACTGGAGGATTCTTGTGATGTCTCAGGCACCGAACTAATAGTGTGTTCCTCAGGATATTGCTCAATAGGTTGTCGAGCTGTAGTGGGCTGTTCATAAACCGTTTCAATAGGTTTAAGAGTGGTCTGTTGCTTCTCAGTTACTATTTCTTCTTCAGATGTAATAGAAGGAACAGTAATTTCTACAGGTGACTTCGGAGTACTAATCTCACCAACTAATGTACTCGATTCTGTCGTAGCTTCTTTTGGTATTTCCGTAGGCGAAACAGTCGTCTGGATTTCTTTTTCTCCGGAAACATGAGGTTCAATTACATGACTGTCGGATTCCAATTCAGCAGTCGGTGTGGAATCACAAGCATACATTGGACAGCAAGATTCTCCGTTTGTGTGAACCGGCATGCAATTTGATAGATGCGCTGGCGGGGCAGGACATTGCACGAGTTCGCATTGTACAATACTGCTAATGCAACGACAACTGGTCTGACACGCATTTGCGGGTGGAACGGCTGAATTGTTGTTATAAGATTGTCCTTCAACAAGACAATTACCTTCTCCTGGAATACCCGACGGACGAGGTACTAACTCTGTTGTACTTTCTTCTTCTACAGAAATTTCTTCTGGAATGCTTGTTGTATATTGAGTTGTTTCTTTCGGAACAATCGTTGAATATGTCTCTTTTTCTTCATGCTCCGGCATCTCCGTAATCATTTTTTCTTCTTCTTCAGACTTCAATGGTTGTTCGGTAATCGATACTTTAGGTGTTTCAGAAATTATACCTTCTTCTGTGGATATTTCAGCTGGACTTTCCGTTTCACCTTTTTCCTTAATTGGCGTTTCTTCCTTCAGTGATGGTTGCGTGACTTGCTCTTGTATTTCTGGTTGTTCTTTTTCGGAAGGTACAGATTCGGTTGCAGGTGTAACTTCTTCCTCGGCAAGAACTTCGTGCTTCGTAAATTCTTCAAGTCCAGGCAGCTCAGTTGATGCCTCAGAAATTAATACTGGAATCGACGTACCTTCACTTTCCGCGGTTTCGGTTGTATTACTGACACCTACGTCTTCAACTGATTCTCTAGGAACTTCAGGAGTGGAAGACTCTTCGTGAGTTGCAGGACTGGATGTTTCAATCTCTGTTTTCTCATGAATTTCTGGTTGTTTCTCAGTGATTGGCTCTTGAGTCTGTTCCTCTTGAGTCTGTTCCTCCTGTCCGGATAATTCGGTTGTGACTTCTTCCGGTTGTTCACTCGATATTTCAGGTTGTTCTGGCGTAATAGCTTCGGTAACAGTAACAGATTCCGTTGTACTACCCTCAGCCAGTTTTTCTTCCGGCAGAACAGATTCGGTAATGGTACCTTCCGAAGATGGAATATGAGATATTTCTTCTTCAGGAAGAACTGTCGGTTTCTGTGGTTCCTCATACGTCTCAGTTATTTCTTTCTCTGGTTTCTGTGTTAATTGCTCTTCGTTTAGTTCTGGTTCAATCGGTTCCTGATCTTCTTTGCGATCTGAAGGAATCGGAGGCTGACTTGATATTCCACTGACGGAAGTCTCAGTCTGCTTCTTTTCTAGTTCCGTCGTTGTCTCAGTTTCAACTTCAGGAATTTCTGTTTGTATTCCCTCCGTGGATACAGGCACAGAAATCTTTTCTTCACCTTCTTTTTCAATTTTTCCTGCTTCAGTGGGATGTTCAACGGGCAACTCTGTTTGTTCGACGCCGGTAATTTCCGTTGGTTTTAATTCCACAGTTTCCTCAGTTGATTCCTTTTCTGTTACTGTAGCAGCTTGTTGTTCTGCACTTTCTGTTGTCACGCCTTTCGTACTTTCTGTTTCCTCTAGACCATGACTTTCCGTAACAGCAGCTTCTTCCAAAGCTTTCTTTGTAGAATATTGTTCGGGTTGCTCAGTTATTCCTTCTTCAATGGCAGGAACTCGTGTACGTTCTTCTTCTGTTTCTGTCGTCTTTATCACTTCCGTGGTTTGCTCCTCTTTCAAAATAGGTTCTTCAGTTTGTAATTCTTTTTCTTCTTCGCCAGTTATGCCTGGTGTTGTAATGGGATGTTCCGTAACATGTTCCTCAACTGGTTTTTCAGTAATTGGTTCTTCTTTTTCAATAGGAATTATTTCAGTTTCTTTCTCTTCGACTTGTGGAGCGTGCGTTGATTGCTCAGCAGAAGAAATGACGGTCGTAACATATTCACCTTCTGTTGTATGTTCTTTCTTAAGATCCGAAGGTACTGTTGAATGTTCCGCTGAAAGAGTTGTGGATATTTCGGGAGCTATTTCTGGTTCTGTTACGATTGGAGGTTGCGTTTCTATTTCTTCTTCCTTCTTTGGTTGCACTTCTTTTTCACCACTGACTTCCCCAGAAGAACTTTCACTAGATTCTTCAAGTTCTTTTGTGGGCATTTCTTCACTACTGGGAGACTTTTCTGTTAATTGAATTTCCGTTTGTGGTACTTCACTTACTGTTTCCTCTGGCACAATAGATTTTTCAGGTGCTTCTTCTTCCGGTATTCTTTGAGAAATAACAGCTGTAGAAGATTCTGTGCTAATCTGAACTTCGGTGACAGCAGGTGTACTTTGTGTTTCTTCAGAAACTGTAGTGATTTCAGGTTTACGCTCAATTGGTAGGTTTATTTCCGTAGCTTCTTCTATTGGTTTCATCGTTCCTTCCATTGATACTTCAATACCTTCCGTTGCAATTGGTTTTGCAATTTCTTCTGATGGAGCTAGCGTGGTCTCTTGTTCCTGCGGGAGATGAGTTACAGGTATTTTCTGCGGAACCTCAGTTATGAGATTATCGGGACTAATTTCCGGATGAGTGAAACCATGATAGTCTTCTGTCACATGATATACGCTCTCATCTTCTGCTTTCTGTTCTGGACTTCGTTCGGGAATCGGTATGCCAGTTGGACCTTGAGCTGGAATTTCCGGAGTTGATTCTTCCTCTGCATGTGACACTTCCGTGATGAGAGGTTCTTCACTAATCACTGAACTCTCAGTCAAACCGGCATCTTCTTTCTTAGCGCCAGCAGTGGCTTGCTCTTCAATTATTGCGTGTTCGGATGTTGTTTCTTCCGGCTGTTGTTCCTTTTCGCTTATCACTGGTTTTTGTTCTTCAGCAGGTTGTTCTTTAGGAAGACCACTTATTTCAGTTGATTGTTCCGTAACAGCGATTTCCGTCGGATGCGACATCTCTTCTCTCTCAGTAGTGATTTGTTCAGTACTGAACACCTCATGAGCAGGAGTCACAGTTTCTTCTTCTTTCGGTGATTCCGTTTCTGTTGCTAAGAGTACACCAGGCATAGTTTCTGATTCACCTTCACTTGCCTTTGGTTGCTCGCTAACAAATTCAGAAACAGTGCTGATACTAGGCTCTTCGATTGGCGATGTTGTTTTCTCAATGGCTTCAGTTGAACTCTCTGGTTTTTCTGAACTAATCTGTCCTTCTTGTGTTATCTCTTCTTGTGTTACCTCTTTTTGTGTTATCTCTTCTTGTGTTTGCGTTGACAATTCTTCGTGCGGGCTAGTAGTCTCTTCTTCTTTTATCGGACCTTCGGTTTGCGTTGACAATTCTTCGTGCGGACTAGTAGTTTCTTCTTCTTTTATCAGACCTTCGGTTTGCGTTGACAATTCTTCGTGCGGGCTAGTAGTCTCTTCTTCTTTTATCGGACCTTCGGTTTGCGTTGTTTCGTTAATGGAAGGTTCGATCGATTGTCCCCTTTCAGTGACAGCAGAAGTACTAGGTTCCTCTTCAATTATATTCTCTTCTGTACTTACATGTTCTTTAGATACGTGTTCTGTTGTTAACAACTCCTCTTCGGGTTGCAAGCCTTCTGCGATAGACGAAACTTTCGGTAATTCAGTGGCAGGTGCTTCAGTAACTAAACTTTCTTCAGTTCCTTGTACTGTAGTAGGTGCTTCTGGTTTTGTTGCTTCTATTTCAGAGGGCACTTCTTCTGCCTTTTCCGATGTTACCTCAGGAGAAGTTTCGGTAACATGTTCGTGAGAAGGAGTAACTTCTTTCTCAGCAGTAGTAGTTTCTATCTTTTCTGTCGGTAGTGTTGCAATTTCTTCTTCAGGTTTTTCGGTAGACGGAATGTGTCCCTGGGTAATATGTTCGATAGTTCCTTGAACAGTTTTGTCTTCTTCTTCCTGAGCATACGGTATATTATTGTCGATGCCTGGGAATACTTCTTCCTGAGGATGTTCGCCCTTCATTTGTTGATCTTCCTGATCAATCAATATGGGAGATTCGGTCATTTGATCATTGTGTACTTGTTCCGAAAACTGTTCTTCACCTTGATCTCGTACCGTAGTGACTCCTTCTGTAATAAGTATATATGAGCCTTTAATGCGTAATTTAGTAATAATGCTTCTTAGATAGTTAAATTACATAATATATGGTTACTATTATTATGTGAAATTACTTACCACACTCGTATATGGTTGGACAACATTCTCCTTCTGGTGGCGGTAAGGCCGTGCAATTCTTTCCATGCTCTTGCATCGGCGTTCCACAATTTTGCACAGCGCAAGCGATCTCGCCTCGGAAGCAATAGCAATGCTGGCAAGGCTGAGTTGAATAAATCAAATCACCGTCTTCGTAGACTTTACCTTCATAATAACATTGAGGTAACATGCCAGGAGGTAGCGTTGTGGTCATGATGAGACCGGGAGTTGGACCAACCGTAGTGCTAGATTCCTCATCGTATTCTGTACAAAGAATTAATAATTGTTAATAATTTTTCAGTATAAAATAATACCAAGGTATTACAGGATAACGCAATTACTTACCGCAATTGTACTTGATTGGACAACACACACCCGGTTGATAAACAGGTTTACATCCAGCCACTTGTAAAGTACACTCTTGCATGACGCAAGTGGTTCTATTTCTAATGCAATAACAAAGTTCACAAGGATTGTGGTGATCCAACGGCAGCATAGCGCCGTCTGCATAAAACCTCTCGTCGACATGGCAGCCATAATTGTCATGGAATCCGACTTCTGTGGAATCCGGTGCACTCGTTGTTGATGTCAGTAGCTGAACCGGTACTTCCGGACAAGTGATCACAGGGCAACATTGATCCGGACGTTTCTCCACCGTGCAATCCTGACCGATCGCTTTTGTGAAGGGACAGACCTTCAAGTAGCACATCAACATTCGGTTGTGGCACGTGCAGTTTAGACATGGTTCACTTGTCATGATCCTATCGCCTTCTTGATACCGCTGGTAGTTGAAGTAACATCCAGGGATGGCTAGAGGAATAATTGTATATATAATAGATACGAATCTCTAACATCGTAATTATATTGTTATTTTTACAATATTATTATATTCGTTGCGAGATGCAACAAATAAATTCAATTCAGAAAAATTTAGAAAAAATTTTTATTTTATAATATGTTACATAGAAATAATTAGTAATAAATTTCTTTTAATCCTCTTTGATTTATTGAATAAAAGTACAACGTGTGCGGCTTCTTAAACCACAATATAATTAATGTCACGTTGTTGACGCATGTGACGATTGATTAGATGCAATAAAAGCAAGCGTGATATACATACTTCCATCGTACTCTGCGATCTGTGTGGTATCCTGGTCATATACCGGTGCTGCAATCAAAGAAACATGACTGTTAGTGCTACGCGATCGAGTGCGTCGTGACAGGTACAGGCGCAGACATGTACGTGAAGTTAATGAAAAGCATAAAACGGGATTGCCGAATAAGCTTGGTGAAATTTGCAAGGGTGGACGTCAATGCGTCTCCCGCGTGCAGTTTATCATAGTAATTACTAGCGGGACGCATTCGTCGTCTCTCGAGGGTGTACCGGAGCTTAACAACGGAACGAGTGGAAGCGTCATATGGCGCGAACACACGTGGGCGAATTCTCGTTAACACCCTCGCCCCAGTCGTACGAGTTGCATGGTGAGTGCTCATGGAGTAGTGAATTCCATTTGGCTCTTCCTCTCGTGTGCAATCCACGCGGATATTCGTATATAACAATCGCGTATCTCCATTTACAAGCCTATTCTTTTCTTACGCGACTATACGTTTTCGCAATTTCTTTTTTGAAATTGGAATGTCGCGCGCAGGACTTGAGTTCAATTGTTCCTGAAACATGACAGGACACTCTTCCGAGGTATATACAATCACGAAAGATGTTTTCATCGAGAAATCGCACAATGAACCTTTTCTCGCCGCTCTATCCTTCTTTTATTCTTGCTTTTTCATCTTCGAAATAGTGTTTAATTTTATATTACACGAAAAGTTCCAAAATTCCAAATTATATCCGTACAATGTACAGTCAGGGCCTAAAAGGTTGCACTTTTTTAAAAATGGATTTTGGAATGCAGCCTACTCAACGAGCGATTGGTTCTTATTTATCGATCCATGAATAAGAACCAATCGCTCGGTGAGTAGGCTGCATTCCAAAACCTACCGAAAAAAAAATGTGGCAACCTTTTAGGCCCCGACTATGCATGTATAAAATACGGATAAAACAATAACGTTTAAATCTTTGTAAAAGATAGTTGACTTATCAAACGTGTAAAAAGATTATACCATTTTATTGAAATTTATTAATGCATTTTTACGATTAGATATCGACATAAACTTTGTGTAATATATGTGTCTTCTCTAAAAATTTGCCATCTCTTATCAATATATCTTTAGAAACGAGTTTTGTGATATTCGAGAATTAGAAGACTTATTAGACTCAATGAACTGAATAAGGAATAAGGAATAAGGAATAACAGATTTTAATCTATCAGAAACTGAATACATCGGAATACTCGGTTTCTGATAAGTTGAAATCTGTTATTCCTTGTTCCTTATTCCTTTCATTGTGTCTGAGCCCTTAGCATTCCGCGATGCAAGTGATTTCCAGTGAACTGAACTGTACTGAGAAGCACAACGGTGGTTGAATGGAGACTTGGTCGTGTCTCGTCAGTCCCACGAGCGAGTCGGTGCCCGAGCCGCGTGCCTCCACGTTATACGAACCCATCACGTACGCGTGGCCTACCGAGACGATTCTTGTCTCGCACAATGGTCAGACTAAATTATTACGTCGCACCTCCCATCGTGGAGACCACGGTCAAGGTGTCGAGACTTCGTGTACACGATTGTAATCTCTGTACGTGATCTTCATTATGCGAGCGCTTAACTACAACGACATAATATGATCATTCAATGTAAGAACAGCGGTATGTACTCGCGATAATTAAATGCATAATGAGGCGATTGGACTGAATAAAAGAAATCGGATAGCTGAGAGTGATAGAAAATTGAGAGGAAAAAGAATGTTCGCTGTAATCATCACCAATTTGATTATTTCCTGAAGCACACTTTTGCTGGAATTGTTACATCTTTTGAACGAATCGTATGATTCTTTCCATTGATTTTTACGATGATACATACTAAAAAACCGAAAAACAGCTTTTTGTTGCGAGCATTTTCTTTATTTCTTCACTCGTAAACGATAAATTACCGTCGACGGACTAACGGGACAATCATTGAATATGATCGGGAGATACTGACAAAAAATCGCTACATGATAAAAAATTTCAACTATAATAACGGAGAATTGCACCATGATGAAGCACAATGATTTCAATCGTCGATCTGCTTTTGATACTTGTTTCTTATCCCTTCGAAATCGAAAGGCACGAATTGCGAATTACCTCTCGAAAGAAGCGCAGTGAGAGAGAGAGTCGTCCAATAAATCTCACGCAGCAAGATAATGTTCCGTTCTTCGGATACAAAAATATAGTTCCGAATAAAACACGTCTTACAAAGCCGCTAGGAAGTGCATCGACTAAGGCAGACCTCTCTCGATGTACGCGGAACGCAGACTCTAAATCAATCTTGGTCGCATAGAAAAAGGGCAATGTGGGAGTTTATCGGTATCAACAATAAACGCATCTTCCCTCGAATATAATTTCCGCCGCGAGCGAGATTTATGCGTTCTTCGGCCTCCTCGCTCATAATCGAAGATCGCGCTTATATAGGGTGGATATTAAGTACTCTAAAAGATTTTAAGAAATAATTCCTTACACAAATTCAAGATAAAAGCTTCATATATGCGAATGGCTTAATTTCAAAAATACAGGAGGGTGTATCAAAGTTGAAAAAAAAATCATTTTTTCAAAAATTTCAAATACATTCGAATTGTTTTAATGAAACTTTGTATGTTTAAAGTTTGACAAAAATAACACAAGTTGTTTTCGAAATTTTTGGAAAAAACAAAATTTTTTCTTCAATTTTGACACACTGTACCTTTGAAACTAAACTGTTTTAGATATATAAAGCTTTCGTCTTGAATTTGTGTGAGAAATCATCCCTTAATCTTTTAGAGCACTTAATATCCACCCTGTATACACACAGGCGCGCGTGCAAGCATACATGTTATGTATATCTCAAGGAATCGCGGGGGAATCATTATGTAAGTCAACGTACCGCCGAGTCCTCCTGTTTCCTCTCCGTGTGTCGTTTCCCCTCTCGCAATTGTCTTGCTCTCACTTTGAGGGCGACTCTCTCGATTTCTCCTGCAATGCATCGCGATCCGTCCCTTTCTCCGCGTATGGGCGCGTACGCGCGCGCGAACAATGCTATTACACACTACAGAGAACAGGAGAACACGGGGCTGTTGCGCTCGGTTATGAAATCATTCCCGGCGGCCTTGCCTCGCGAAAGTTCATTACCATCAGCCGCGCACGCTCCGATGAACACCTGGCACCGCAGCCAGCCCCTGGCGTATTGCGTGCACGAAATTCTGCATTACGCATTCTCCAAGGTCGCGGTTTCCTCCGTCGCGCTCTCACCAAGACAACCTCTTCGTACACTGATGAAAAAGATGATGGAATAATTTCGTTTCTTTGTGTGTATGCGTACGCATACCTGAGATGAAAGACTCGTCATGACTTTTCTCGTTAAAGTCCCGCGTGAAAGACGACAGATATTCGGAAATTACGCAGCCCATTCGCCGTATAATTTTATTGAAATAAATTCAGGCTTCAGAAAAGGAACAGAAAAATAATGCCAATTCGTTTGTATCACTGTGATTGTTAATGTCAATGTCATGAGTATCGGGAAGGTAGAACGCAGTGGAAACCTGGCCGACCGGTTCTGGCGTAATACGCCGTACTGTTTCTAGCCCGTAGAATCCCTTTCGAGGACAGTCATAAATTATATCTTCCCAATCACACGGGATCGAGTGCGTTACCACTTCCTACATTATGATGCAAGTCCGCCGTTAGGTCCGGTAATGAGAATAATTCCCAACTCGGGAAAGAAATGCTCGTTTCCGATAAGGGACTCGAGATCTTTGAACCGCGATTCACTTCGTTGCGCGAGAATGTTTCATATGTGCGATTGGATCTAGCGGACGTTGAACGCGATGCCGTAGACGTAGCCCTTAAATTATGCCTCACAAAAGCGGAACACCTATTTTCCAAAATAGACTAATGCGATCGATTTAATCCGTGTCACGCTGACGTTGCACCTACACGTTCCGTTATACCCTTCGTCGGATCGTCAGATGACCGCCGCTGACCTCACCATCTCACAATCAGTAAGTAGTCAAGAAGGTACACAGACGAGAGAGAAAGAGAGAAGAACTCTAAAGAGTACGCGTGCGAGAACGAGGGAGTGAAGTCCTCTTACGACGTACCAGTTACAACGGGTCCTTTCTATACCCTCTTACCGCGCAAGAGCTTTTCCTCATTTAAATTGACGGCGCAGAGTTTATTCGCGCTCGCTCGTCAAGAATGCATTTAAATTACCTTGAAACTATCATTGATTTATTCTCGTACCAAGATCGTTTTATGATAGATTCACACATTTAATTCGCACGTAATTTAGTCCCATATTGTGCACAGACTTCCAAAGAACTAAAGCTTTAGATATACCAAAGTAGCGTATAGGTCCTCCATTTTGGACCTACTAATTATACCCTATATCAATAATACTAAGCTCATTGGACTACAGACAATTAGGTCGAAAATGGCGGTCGAAATAGTCAATAGGAAAGTTGTTGGCATTTCGGCTCAGATCAAAGGATTGCACTACTTTGGTATATTTAGAGCTTTTGTGTGCTAGATGGGAAAGATCCATGCAAAGTGCTCAAATGTATAGAAGTCTTTCACATAGATTTATGAATTGACTCATATAATTCTGTCTCGCGTAAGAAATGCGAGCAGATTTAACATGCGTGTAACTGTACACCGTCTCACGTCACATATATCTTGAATTTTTATGCGCATCATGCCGCTTGTACAGTACCATCACGATTCTCCGCGCCGTCGCGAGAGAGTTTGATGATGCTCGAAGATAACGACACTTTGCCAAGCATTAAGCATAAATATGGAACGCCTTAGGGGTCAGATGCGGTAGACGACGGACGTGGATCGTAAGTGGCGAACGGTGAGGTACACGGTCAGTGACATCCCGATGCGGGCACGTCGACTGATTGCTCCTCAGGGCCTACAGGTTTGACCAGAATTCACGCAGCATCATGTCGATACAACCACGTGGAGGAACCGCTACACGGAGAAGAGCCGAGACGTTCTTTTTCTCTATTAACTTTAGATTTAGATCATTTCCGGGTAGGACTCCGAAATTAACTCCTCTGTTTATTAAAGAAATCAATTTTACCGTGTCATATTTCTTGTTTTTTCTCTTGTTATTTCTTTTTCCTTTTAACACTGATATAAGAAATAATATGTATAAATATACTTTGAGTACATTCAAGAAATGCGCTATCAGCGCTATTGGATCATTATATTTTTGTTTTACGTCTATATATGTTAAAGATAGAATAAAAGATACAATGGTGCTAACAGCGTGCTCTCCATGTTCAGCGTAGTTGAACGAGAAAAAAAAGACGCAGAGGAATTAACGGAACTCACGAGTCATATTCAAACCGATCGAACATTCATAAATCTCGGCCAAATATAATAAACGATTGCCTCGGAATTCCGGTAATATTTATATACTCGTACTAATATATATATATATATATAGCTATAATGTCAGTGATATGTGATACCTGTTACTACCATATTTCCTATCGGAAATATCGCGCGTAATACTGATATCGCTCTTTTATTTTAAAGGTGACACAACTCAAAAAACATAATTTTCCAGTTATTACCATGAATGAATTAGGTAAACATTATTTTATCAATTATTAAAAATAAACTAATTTAAAATTGTCACAACTTAAGAAAAATGGTTTAGAAAAAATTAAAAATCTCTAAAATAGGGTGGTTTAAAATTGTAAAACAAAAATTACAAGAATGATATTTGATACCTGCATGTAAAAAATATAGGTATTCTTTTTACAAATATTATTTAATTAGTCAATAATTTTTTGTCAAGTTAAAAAATAGTTTTCTCTTTTCTCTAAGAAATGTAATTTTTTGAGTCGTATCACTTTTAAAGTAAAGGAGCAATATTATAATCAAGCAAATTGTAACAATTTGCGCAACAAATCGCAAGGCACGAATCTCACTCGTAATTTTTCGCCATAATGCAATCTGATGCACATCAAGTAATTCCAATAATCTCGAAACAGCGAACCTGAAAAGAAAGTTATTGCTACGCGCGTGGTAATATAACATGACAGGTAAACACTTTTTTGTAATGAAAACCTGTTGCCTCTCGAAGTTGGCGATATTGCTGATTTCCTTTCAATACAAGTATCTCGCCAATGCCCGTTGCGCCTCAAGGAAGATACATAATCCAGTAAAACTTGTCCGCCGTCTGATGGATTACCAGAGATCGAACGCGTCGATCTTGATCGTCCTTGCTGCTCGCTCGAGAAAAGCTCGAAGGAACAAAAAGAGCGTGCATGCGATATAGAGTCACAGAATCACCTAGCGATTCTCGAGGGGGGAAAAAAAAGAAGAGCGAGTGAAGACACGCCGGGTGAATCGCGGAATTCAATCGATCCCGTCCGTTTAACCACACCTGCTCTTCGTTGAAACACCGACGGCCGATTGATGAAGGGGAGAGGCAAAACTGACGCATCTTCAATAAGCCTTCATTGACGATGCAACGTTTTTGCACGTCGTCGTGTTCATAGCATCATGCTTTTCCGAGAACGCGCTCCTGATCGATCGATCGATCGTCGTGAGCGCCTGTGCGAAATAGGTTCGTTTTCTTTGCGGCCTCTTGACCACAAGATGTGAAATTACTTTCTCGAATAACGAATTACGGGAATGACGAATCCTTTTTCTATCGATACTGAAGCGCATTTTTTTTGCGGTCGATATTATTGCGGCGTAAATCTATCACCGTTTTTCCTCTCCCGGAAATAATTCACGACACGAGCGATGACAATTGGAGGCCCCGTTTTAACTGGATCGTCTTCGGTACCAGGATAACCTATCGGGACTCGATAGGTCCAGGCATACCGTTTTAAACCAGCTCGACATAAAGGGAAGAAGCTCGCGAAACTTCGCGGAACGAGGTTCACGATAGGAAGGAGGCGACCGACCGTTCGAAGGCGACCCGAGAGTGGTCGAAGAACGAATATGGTGTGCCAGGTCCATGGGAAAGCACCTTGGGCCTCGACACGACCGATGCCAGAGGTGAGCATTATGAGGTAATGCTCTCCCCGTTGCCAGAGAGGAAGGGAGACACGCGAATAGGTTCGACGGCCTGACAGAACGTGGCTCGCTCATTCAAACATTGGCTGGCCGACTCTGCGTTAGTCACAGACGGTACAAGAAAGACGGTCGCGGAAGTAATGGTCTCATCTCTCGACTCTGATTTTCAGAAATTAATTTCAATACAAAACGTACGCGCATTCACGCCCGATTTAAAGCTTTCTATCGCACCTCTATTCTAATCTCAAAAAATGCAGCGGTTTGATTCTATCTATCGTGCTTTAATAAAATTACTCTTCTTTTGCCTTTCAAAAAAACCAGTTTCCATCGTAAATGCAATAAAACATACTCGAGTTACGAAAGACTTTTCTCATCTTCATCCGAGATTACTTCTACTCTCTCTTTCTCTTTGGTCTCTATTACTGCAATATTCAACTTCTTGTCTGTATTCCGCAGAGTGTAAAAAGAGTAAACACAACATCCACGTGGAAACAAAATTTTTTTTTTTCGTTACGATTCCAGCATATTTTGCTACATTTATGGACGGTATTTATGGACGATCCGGTGGAGTACAATCTAACTTCGAGCAAGCCACAAGCAGAAATAATCCGATCGCGTTTTCTCGGGCGAGCGAAAATATTTCTTGCCCGTCTACCTCTTATTTCCTCGTGGGAGTCCGCGCGTTCATGGTCTCTCTATCAAATAAATGACTCACGTTTTGTACGGCGGCTCAAGCGTGTCCAAGGCGTTGAAGTCAGACGAAAGAAAGAGAGCTAGAAGTACACCGAGGTATTTCTGCAAAAACTCACCAGAATGCGTGGATCGTGACGCAAGCAGTAGGACGACGGCCAGCCAGAGGATTATCCCGCTTCTACAAAGCGCGGCGTTCAACGCCGACATGTCGGCACTCTTCTTCCGTACCCTGCAACACATAAATTATGCTTTCGTTAACTTATATTATATGTGTGAACATAAACTAAGCTTTGGTCCCTTTTGGCTACATATAAAATGACTCTGGAGTAAAAATTAATTTAAAATCTTTACAAGATTTATTTAAAGTTAAATTGATTTCTTACTTGTAATATCACAAGTTTAACGTTCTCTCTGACTTTATTTAAATATAAGTAAAATTCGTTTACTTTATCGATTATTCAATAGTCATGATCAATTGCCAATGAATAATATTAAAATGCTTTAACGTAAACATAGTTGGAAGGGGGTGCCTTAATATCGATCATCTTATATTATATCACGAATGCAATCGCTCGGCTTAGATTCATACCTACTCAGACGGCTTTGAAAATTTTTTCGCGTTATCTGCATACGCGTGAAAGTATAACGAGCTATTGTACGCGCGCACTTATCTATTCCATCATGAGGCAGCTTAAAGGTATATCTATCTCGTCACGTGGCATTCTACCATGTAACTCTCGCCTTGATCTGACAGGATGACAGCTGAACGGATACAGTGGTCGCGTTTGGAATCGAGTCAGACGCATCTCTGCACTTTGACCTTCTCGCGAGTCTATGTGCTGCAGAAGACTCGACGCGACAAGTATAATTTATATATGTAACTAAATATTGATTACGTAAATGAACATATCACTCATTTGCTACAATAACAACACATCTTGAAAAACAAACTTTCCCAGAAAATATGAATGTTTTGAATCATTAAAATTTTGTAATATTAATTTTGAAATGCAATTTTGATATAATTTTGATAAAAACTGATTGTAGAAGAATAAAAGTATGTGTGTATTTTTAAAATATTTCCTTTAAAAAGTTTCCATTTTGTTTTCTGTAAGTTCCCGTCCTTTTTTTCAAACATATACAAGCAACTTAAAGATAAATATTTTTTAATAATGACGCTATTGTAGCAAATAAGTGTTATAAAGATATATATGTGAAGCATATGCTAATGTAATAATATTTTAAAAATTGATATTGAATTACGCTTGATTATCATTTGAAAATTATTTATGAAAATTGTAATTGATATCGAAAAGGATCTAATAAAGGTCGAAAAGTTTCTTCTTTATAAGATTCATTAATAATTGTTAAATATTCGTTAATTATAGCATGAACACCCAACTTAGGTTCATAGTCCCTTTTGCATTAATTTAGTATTAATAATTATCTATCACTATGTCTATGTTGTAGTCAGAATCAAGAAGACAGTCAGTCTCGAGAAAAATAACAAAGTTAATCGGTTAAACGCTGTAGAGAGAGTTAATCGGCGTTGGTAGAATTAGCCTTAAGGTATACAATGTATCACGGTGTCAAGACGCGAAATTCGCGACGCGAGAAAACATTTGACGCATTCGCGTCGCGGCGGGAGGCTAAATGCGATTCGTCTGTCTACCTGGAGCGTGAGCCGGCTATGAGAGGCGTGGGTGCGTGGGAATGAGCACGCGTGTTTGCACGAGCCCGCCGTGTGCTCAACCTCCTCCGTTCATATCGTTGACCAGCAGAGCTCGCTCTCCCGATAAGGGAATAGGCACGCGAAAAAGCGTGAGTGAAAAAAGATTCATATAATAAAAGTTCGATTTTCAAGGTGGTGCTATAAAATTGAGTATCAACGCGTTTGCATTCCTTCGTTCCGATGTAGAGGGAGGAAAAGGAGGAGACGACGATCGTGTCCGCGGGTTCTTGACCGAAAGAAATTACTTAGGAGCGCTGACTTTGCTGGTAAACGCCATAAAGGAGGAGGAAAGAGGAGGAGGGTGATGGAGGAGGATAAGGAGGAGGAAAAATAAGAAGAATCTCCGGAAGAAAAGGAGGACTTTGGCGAAGCTGGCGGCGCATACCAACCGTGCGACAGCGGCCTAATACAAAGCGGTACCAAGATAAAAGAGAGAAGCGCGCGCGCGCGAGAGAGAGAGAGAGCGCGAAGGTAGTTTCTCTTCTACCTGTCGACTTCATCTTTTCCCCTACGTATATTTCCTCCTCTGCCACTCTTCCCCCAGCAACATCCACCGGCAGCTCATTGTAGTCCAGAGAGAAGGAGGAAGAGAAGAGAAGAAGAAAAAGAAAAAGAAAAAGAAGCAATGCGAGAGTCGCGACACCTAAACTCGCGCTCGCTCGTTAACGTCCGTTTCATGCTAGCCGCTCAGTAAATTACATCTCGGCCGATCGTAATGAATCTCGCACCAATGGATAAGTCCGCGAGATATTTCTGCACTATGAACCGCGCCAGGGGAACATTGGAGTCCGCAATACGTTGAGACTATCTGGCGAGGCAACGGGGACCCTTACGTCATTGCGTATTCACGGTACAACTCATTGAACAAGGGAATTCGGTGAATGGGTACGAGCGCATACCGCTAATACGCGCACGCACCTCTATAGCTTCAGCCTGAGCACTGGCCAGGATCGGATTGCGCGAGTATTGTGCAAATACGAATATATTTCTTCCAACTTTACTAGTGAAATAGTCAGAATTGTCATTTCAGTTTCTTCTTTCATTCACGATAATCTGCAAAATATTGATAGCTTCTAAATTTACATGGTCTAGATTCATATTTCATCTCACTTGCAATATGCATGCATACTGACTTAAAATCCAATTCTGTCTTCAAGATATAACTTAAATGTCACAACTCTGATCTTTTACAGAGAATATTTTAATAAATCAAACTTCTGGAGGTATCAAGAAAGGATTTAATAATATACCCAGGCGATCCTATTAATCTTTCTTAAGTTTCATGCCCATTCGTCTGTTCTTCCGAGAAGCGGCCCCCGATAAGACCGCATTTCTCCCGTATCTCACGTTCGGTGGGTGCGTGCGGGTCGCGTTCACAACCCAGAAACGACACACCCGTGTGGTGATGCGTTGTGAATGGAAATATCGGCCCGGCTCCATTCCGGCAACGGCTGTCTTCAGTCTCCCTCTTCCTCTCTTTCCCACAATCGGCACGATCGGCATTCTCGTCGATTCACCCTGATTCGTCGCAAGGTGCATTACTTTCCATCTTGCTCGTCCAAGAACGAGCGGTAGGCGCGTCCGTCGAACCGAGACTAATTCCACTTACGCTCTCGGTACGGCCGCGCCGCGTCTTCCACCGGAAGGCACCGTGTCTTCGGATGCACGCGTTTATAAAGCGCGACGCGCGTCCAAGTGCATCGTTGCAGGCGGCGGCGTCGTGTCCGGCCTGCACGCAGTGCGTTTGTCGCCGATGAAATCGTTCGATTCGGTCGTAATTGCCGGCGATGACATCTTCCGGTTGTAGCACGCGCTGACGACTACGATAGTACGTGCTGTGTATGTACATACTGTGTATGTACACGCTGGAAACCACTGACTCTCCGGATCCTCTTAACTTGTGACTGAAGTGCCCACTCATAACGGGATCCGCTCCTCTTCGAGTTGTCGATTATAATTTACTGCGGTTACATGTAAAATTATTCAAAATGTAGAGAAATATGTTTCTCTCCGTTCCCTGAATATTTGATATCTTGCATAATAAATCCAATAAAAAAAAATCGCTATTCTTTACATATTTTTCTCAATTTCGTATATCAATTCTAGAAAAAAATTTCTATAAAAATCACCTGTTGAAAATAATGTAACCATTATAAAACTTATAAACGTCAAAAAACTGAGTAATCGTATTTTAACTCTGCCGGAGGGTGAAACATTGAATACGAAATCGTGAAGGCATTTTTTGGTAAAAGGAGTTGGTGCATTTTAAATGATTTAGGTAGCTCGCAAGAATCGTGTTCACATTTTTTCTTACTCAATTTTACTTGCTGAATTCGAAAATCGTAAATAAAATTGTCTTGGGGGGTATCCGGAAAATATTTTTTTCTCACATTTTGAACGGAAGAAAGCATTAATTTTATCATTTTTTTTTAACCATCTCTGTAAATTTATCTTTATTTTTATAAAAATCAATTATTATTATTAAAGTCGTAACTTTTACTTGCATTATAAAATAAATAAATTTGTACTATAAGTCGTTTTTTGTAATTTGTAAATTTTATTACATTGTAAATTTGTAAAAAATAATCTAAAATACAATCTAACTTCTGTGGTAGTAAATACTAGTTGTTAAAGTTTTATAAGTACACGAAATTCTTTTTTAGATTTTTAGTCCGGAATAATATAAAAGTCTGCACTGAAGTTCAAAGACCCTATAATTGCTGATGGAAAGTGGAAAATTACACATTGCTAATGGTGGGTTAAGAAATACGTAATGTATAGCTAACGTGCCTTTTGATTCTCTTCTCAAATAAGCTTGTATATATTTAACGAGTATAAATAGTACACAATCATAGATATGTAACTTGTATTCAATCCAATCGTAATAGTCAATCCCCTCTGGTTTCTCGACACAAGTACTTTGAATCGATGCTATAATATTGTGATGCTGTAGTATTGTCGAGAGCAATATACGAGGAACTTCAAAAACGAGAATGAACGGCATCACTAACAATATCGAGGCGAAGAGAGGCATCCCCGATTTTACTTTCACACTCACGATAAATTATATTGAACGAAGAGTAATAGCTCAAAGCGAAGAGTAGTACTACTCTCAACAACAACAACGACAACAACGAGAACGAGTAGTGCATTAAATGCGAAATAAGGCAAACGCCCCGCTCTAATTAATACATTAATTAATATCATGATTATCCCGTGAGTAATTAACGCGCGAGCGTATTACTCTTCGGCTCATTCACGCTGAGGTAACCATTACGCCGAGTAATAACAGCAACGATCACTATCGAGCTTCTGCAACCGCAACGGGATCCTTTTTCATGTACGGTTTCCAACCGCCCATGGCGAAATATTTCATTGAATTGTGGATAACAGCAAATTAATTGTTATTAGCGTTCGGTTGTATACGTTACTGGTCGGTGCCAGCCCGATCGCGGCTGGTCACGAGGTCAGGTCAGGTTCAGAGGCTAGTCCGCCTT